TTCCAGGATAAGAGTCTTCTCTGTCTTTTTTAAATTTGTTTTGTTTGGGTTTTGGTATTTCTTTTAAATTTGGTTTTGTTTCGGGGGAAGTGGGTAGGCAAATGCAGAGGGTGGATTCGAGGGGACATTGAGGAAAATGGGATCAGAATGCATGGTGTGAAAGCCACACACAATCAATGAAAGAAAAGAAAACAAAAAACAAAAAAACTCCTTTAGGCCATTGTGTTTCTCTAGGAGCAGTAACTTTATATGTACACTGGAAACCTTCCAATTCACATATTACATTTCAGATCTGAGCCAATGTGTTTCAGGCAAGTTGGTTGCTAGTGCATGATGTCACCATGCATAGAGCAAGGTGCATAGGTTCTGTGTTCAGAACCTACAGTGCAGTCACAGTACAATGTGACAGAGGGGAGCTCTGCAAGAAACACCTCAGATTCATTGCATTTTTGGTTTTGAATTAGTTAGCAGTCTTGCACATCCAGGAATGTTGAACTTTTGCCAAATTCTTAATGACTCCCACATGAGATGCCACATGAGGTCACAACCCCACATTGTAGTCTAGATCATGTGATCATGTGATCCACCAGTGAGCCTAGATACCCATGGAAAAAGAGGACAATGGAAAAGGAAAGGCAGCAGGTTTGGGTGAGGCAACCAGCATTTCATGATGATGCTACAAACATTCTGCCATCTTTAAGTAATTAGATTAAGAACAAGGGCAAAACACAAACTATGCTTCAGAAATTACTAAAATGTTTTGGAAACTCTGTTTTAGTCTGAAAAAAATAAAAAGCATACACTAAAAGATCATGAAATAGTCTCTGTGGAAAAATATGTCAAAGATTTGGTGGATGATTATTTTTAATATTATTCTAACCACATCATTATAAAATGGATCAAAGAAAGATACTAGTCCATCTCCCAACTTACAGACAAAATAATTCAGCTATAATATGATTATATGGCTAGTCCAAACTCATGGAGAAAACAAATTAGTACAGCATGAATTTTCAGCTCAAATATTCACTAGTTGGTTTTGCACACTTTAAAATGTTGGTTTATGTAGTGATAGATACAAATCATAATTTCTGTTAGTTAAGATACATCCCAAATAATGTTTCAATATTTTTCTAAATTATTGAAGGTTGGCAACTATTAATCAGAGTATATGATAGAAATTTATTTATAAAGGTTAATTTTTAGGACATGTTAATCATTACCTAATATTTATCATATGCACACAGCTATGCCTCACATTGTCTCCTCTTCTGCAAGCCTGTTTTAGCCAGTTAGGCTTAAACTCTTTTTTCCCACTTTTCTTTCTTCTGTGATCCCTCCTACCATTCTTTGTCCCCTGCCCCTCCACCACCCTCCACACACACACACACACACACACACACACACACACACACAAAACTCTGGCCATTATACTTCCACTGTCTCAAAGAAATAATCAGGAAACTCTAACATTATCAGTTCTATTCTGTCACAAAATTTACCATCATATCAAATAAGCAAAATTGATCCCTATAATATTGTAAATGTACCAAATCTAGCCTCATGCTAGGACATTGGCTAATATAGTAGATTACTATTTTCATACTTAGTGTCAGATTTTTATATAAATTTCATCACTTTTTCTTCAATCTAACAGCAAAAGAGCAAGAAAACAACTTAAAGGTTATACTTAGCCCAACACTTGGATAAGTTAATACTTAGTACATGCTATCCCTTGAGAATTTCATACAATGTATTTTGACTATATTAACCCCTTTCCCCAACTCCTTTCATATCCAACTTTGTGTACTCTTTTTTTTTTAACCCATCATGTCCAATTTGTGATACCAATATATTTTTTTGAGTATGGGAACAAGTTGCCAAGGGCATGTGCTTAAAGGAAATTGGATATCCTCCTCCTAGGAGCTATCAATTGGCAGTAACTCACAGGTTAGAGGTGAGACTTCATGTTCAACTCCCCACTCCATGTTGGGATTTGGGCTAGCTTGAGCTTGCCCAGGTCTTGTGCATGCTGTCACAACCACTGTTCTATCCAGAAGACACTGTCACCTTGTAGGCATACACCAATACCGGCTCTTACCCTCTTTTCAAACACTCTTCCATGAGCCCACAGAGAAGATGGACTATGGGATGGATATCCCATTTATGGCTGAATGCTCTACAATCCCTTAATTACTGCATTCATCCCCATATAATGTACAAGAAAGCTTCTCTGATGAGCATTAAAAGATAAACAAATCTATGGGCACATCCACTCCTAATGACTTGTCAGTATTTTCTCTTCTAAATATTATAGTTACATACATGATATTTAAATTATAACTGAATAAATTTAAAATACAGAACAATATTTCAAGCAAAAATTCATCTAATAAAAAGCTCTGTTGCCTCTTCCATTTATGGATACTGCTTTTTATTTTTTTGTGTTTTGTTTGTGGATTTTTTTTTTTTTCTGTCACAAAACTAGTTTTTCCACTCTAACAATCAGGAATCCAGAATCCAAGCTATCCTTGTTTTGGAATTTCACAGTGTGTGTTTGTGGGGGGGGGGTAACCAATGAACAAATGATGTCTTTATTTAGAGCTTTATGAAATACAGTAAATAAATCTGGATTGCATTCAAGACAAAATTTGGTTACTTTAAGAGCCTGAGAATTGATATTGTTGGTCTATAATAAGCATTTTAAGAGTGAATTTCTGCTGGTCTTTAGAATGGCTTGATCCATCCTGCCACTCCATCTGACTGGCAAGAAGAGCTGAAAATTGCACAAGATGAAATGTTTTGCACGAGGCCAAAGACTTTATAACCCTAAGGAAGATTAAAGAGCTGTGTTTCTGGAGGATCAACCTAGACAGACCCCGAAGTGTTTTCCTGGTTCTCTGACCTCAGAGCTGGGTAGCTCAGCCTCCTACTGAGCCAGTGGTTTCCACCCCTTACTGTGAGGCAGAATTAATTAGTGCCTCTGAAGCTTTTCCAAACTATTGGCCAAAGGACATAGATAACAGTGGCCCCTCAAGCATAATCATCCTGTCAACCTTCCCCACCCAGCGGTGCATTTTCAGAGCTGATGTTCAGCATGTAGAATCCTGCAGTAAATTTAGCACAGCAACATGAAGAGTGCTATTTCTCTCCAGGGTGAGAATATTTCATATTTTTTTCTTTTGTAGATTAGTAGCCCTAGATTTGTTCTTTCTGTCCTGCTACTGAGAATAGCCTTGTGTTTTGCCGTGTAACCTGAATGGAACTGTTTGCCTCGGCATTAGTAAAACCACAGAACAGTGTCTAAGCAAGGGCACCCAAATGAATGCCTGATGGGAGAGAGGATCATAGCCGCAAAGGGACTGAAGACTACAGCTTGCACACCATCCATCATGTTGCTGTCTGTGGCTCAGACTGGGCAGTTTGTCGCCTCTGCTGCTCCCGAGAGTGAGAGCCTATCAATCTAAGCATTTCAGCGATGTCTGCTGGGCCTTTCGCTCTCCACTCGCTTGCAGATCTGCAGCTTTTCTGCAGATGATCCCTGCCCTTCCATCTGCTTTAGCATCTGTGCTAGGAGCAGAGTACAGCTTCACAGCTGTGGTTTCCTTGGCCCAGACTCCAAGACCAGCTCTGCAGATGCTCTAAGTGCAATATAATTGGGGTAGTCTTTCAACCGCTGCTCACATGTTCCTTTCGAGTTATGCAGAGAAGAAAACAAAATCCATCCATCAGAAGTAATCCAGCAAAAAGAAGAATTTTCCCCCTCTTTATTCAGAGAGCCATCGCAAATTACCTAGCTAAATAATTAATCAAGATTTCTGCTAAAGATGAGTCAAGTCATTGATGGGTTTTGGTGAGAAAAGTGTGAAGAAACAGTATGACATTAAAAATGAACAGGAATCAAAGCTAATTGGTTTATAACGTGTTTGTCTGTTCATTTGTTTTTAAGGCTATAGAACAGAATAGCATAGACTGGGCAATTTTGGAAGAACAGAAATTTATTCTCATACACCCGGAGGCTGGGGAGACCAAGGTCATAGAGCCAGGATTTGGTGAAGGCCAGTGTGCTGAATGAAATCAAGAGCAAACACACACAGACATGATCACGATACTAATTCATTCTTGAGGACAGAACCCTCATGACCTTACTCTTCCCAGCATTGTTACAGGGGTCAAATGATGGCATTTTAAACAGCTTATTTAGCTCACAGCTAAAGGCGTTCAGGAAAATGGTGGTGGTGTGAGCTCAGCTTCAGGAAGGACTTTATGTAGGATGGCAACATGAAGGTCAAAATGCAAGCGAGAAGAAGCAGTCTCTTAGCAAGACAGGAAGTCACTCAGCACCTACACTCACTCTTTGACTAACAACTTTTTCAAGAGAACACACTCAGATGTTTTCTGTGGGGATTATTCAATGTCCCAATCTCCTCCCACTTAGGCTCTACCTTATAAAGGTCTCACCACCTTTTAACACGACTCCTACCTTCCAACACATGAACCCTTAACAAAGAAGTTACAACCAACATTAGCAATTGGTATGGCAGGTAGGAAATCAATAGCTCCAAATACATTAGATCCATGAAGCACCCAAGAGATCATCAGAGATCCATTAAAGGGACTAAAGGTCCATTCCACTGACTGCCATCCTCGGACTATCATTTGTATTGTTCTAGAAAATGCTCATTGGTCGTTTACTACAGTAGAATCTGATAAGCCTATTAACTCAGAACCCATATTATTTTTTCTTTTGTCAAGAAGGGTGATAATATATTGATCCATAATATTTACATGTTTCAACATTTCCTCTCCAAAACTCAGACAGTTCTTCGCCTATTTTAACTCTTCCTTAGGAAAGTTAAAGGCTGTGTTCCATAGCCTGTCTCCAAATTCCCAAGCACACAAGTATTCCCATTTTCTGTGGCACACTCTTCCACTGAATGATATTTGGAAATGACTTTTAAAAACTGGCTTTGTCTTCTCCTGAATAACAAAACTCAACATATCAAAAAAACTATGATTTATTAAGTTCAAAATAAAGTCTCACAGCCCAGCATACAAATGCTTTTACATTGCTGTCTGTGTGGCTACTGCTTTGCTACAATTATTGAACCAACCTCAGTTGGTATAATGTAAATAAATAAAGATGACTTATAATATTGAAATGCATACAATGATTACTAAGTATCTGTGAAACCGGTCAAATGTTAAACCTGATAAGGAATTACTGTTTTGTTTTCTTCTGAGAAAATGTGTTTGGAATTGACAAAATGCTGTATCAGTAGTAACAGATCCAGCTTACAGTGCTCTGGCAATCCTGGATTTTAAGCTCAGAAAAGAATCAAACTTGAAAATGCATTATTTTTTGTTGATTTCAACTCCCTGTATTGTATCTCTTAATGGACATTTATTATATGCACAACCAAAGGCAGCCTAAAAATTTATAAACCATTCATTTATTAAACCATTGTTTCATAAGAATGTTTTTAGGATATTTCATTAAAGATGAAATAGAAGAAATACGTGAAGAGTTTTTTGAAAGGCAGATTTCATTACTAAAACATTTATCTTTATAGGAGCAAATAAAATATTAGTGCCAGAAGAGGAAAGGGAAGTGCTGCAACCCCACCCCCACGCCCAGCAGCTTCCCAATTTTCTCACTTCTGCTGTGGAATTCTTCACATGTCCAAGGGAGAGCATGATTCTGATTATAAGTTGTGATGCTTTCTACACACTGTGAGTATTACTCCCTTTAGTTTGACTCAGGAATCACTCATGCCCAACAGGGCTTTCTTAGCCAGGAATTATCTAGTTGCCTGGAATGAGTACACAGTCCTGCTAAATTCAAAGAGACAGGGGCAGGGTTATTAGAGGGTTGTGGAGAAATTATAAAATAAAATGCCAATGAAGACCATGAAATAGTACCTGGGTTTTCATGCTCCTTTCCTCCTTTGCTTTTCTATGTCTATGATTTAGTCTCTTCTTTTTTTATGGGAATCATCTCTGCTGCTCCTGGTTTGACTTGGTACACTTTAAATATCCTTAAAAAATGATCTCAGTAAATGCAAATCAAATTCCTGGGAGATGGAACAAACCTGACTGGCTGCTTGAGCCAAAAGGTGAATTCCTGTGGTAAGGACATCTGCCACTGAGTGGAAATATTGGTCTTTCTAGGGTTATGGAGGCTGTTGGAGTGGGATGTCTTTCCGAGTATCTATCATTTCCAGTACAGGCCGGATCTTTCTTTAGCACAGCGGCTGGACACTGGGATTTCATCCACCTTCATCTGTGTACGTGGACTAAGATGTGAATCCTGTCTTGTTGCCCTTCCCTTCCATTCTCTTTTATTAGTCAACTTTCCATCACTGTGACTGCATAACTGATACTATCAACCTTAAAAACTAGGGAGGAATTTTATTTTATCTTAAGGCACTGTAAGTTTCAGGCCATAATTTCTTGGCACCATTGCTCTTGACCTGTAGCAACTCCACACATCATTCCAGGGAGCAAGTACATAATGAAGGAAAGATGGCAGCTAGGAAACTTAGACAGGAAGAAAAGAAGCCTAGAGGCCAAGACAACATCTTTGTATTTTTTTCCTCTGTTATTTTTATTTAAATTAGAAACAAGTTTCTTTTACATGAAAATCTCAGTTCCCTCTCCTTGTTTTTCTGCTGAGTAGTATAAATGTACCACATTTTCTAGATCCATTCCTCAGTAGAGGGGCATGTAGGTTGCTTCCAGTTTCTGGCTATTACAAATAATGCTGCTATGAACACGGTTAAGCAGATGTCCTTGTTGTATGAATGCACATCTTTTGGTATATGGCTAAAAGTAGAATTGCTGGATCTTGTGGTAGACTGATTCCCATTTTCCTGAGGAACTGCCATACTGATTTCCAAAGTGGCTGTAGGAGTTGGCACTCCCACCAGCAGTGGAGGAGTGTTCCCCTTTCTCCACATACTCTCCAGCATAAACTGTTACGGTTGTTCTTGATTTAGCCATTCTGACAGGTGTAAGATGGTATCTTCGAGTTATTTTGATTTGCATTTCCCTGATGGCTAAGGATGTTGAGCACTTTCTTATGTGTCTTTCAGCCATTTTGGATTCCTCTACTGAGAATTCTCTATTTGGTTCTGTACACCACTTTTTAATTGGATTAGTGGGTGTTTTGGAAACTAGCTTCTTGAATTCTTTGTAAATTTTGAAGATCAGCCTTTTGTCAGATGTGGGGTTGGTGAATATCTTTTCCCATTCTGTGGGCTGCTGTTTTGTTTTGTTGACTGTGTCCTTTGCCTTACAAAAGCTTCTCAGTTTCAGGAGGTCCCATTTATCTCAGTGTCTGTGCTACTGGTATTATATTCAGGAAGCAGTCTCCTGTACCAATTTGTCCCAGGGTACCACCTACATTCTCTTATAGGAGGTTCAGTGTGGCTCAATTTATGTTGATGTCTTTGATCCATGCGGACTTAAGTTTTGTGCATGGAGATAGTTATGGATCTATCTGCAGTCTTCTACATACCAGCATCCAATTATGCCATCACCAGTTGTTGAACATGATTTCTTTTTTCCATTGTGTAATTTTAGTTTCTTTGTAAAAAAAAAAAAAATCAGGTGTTCGTAGGTGTGTGGGTTAATATCAGGGTTTTCAATTTGATTCCATTGGTCTACCTGCCTATTTTTTGTGCCAATACCAAACTGTTTTCAGGACTATAGCTCTATAATAGACCTTAAGTAAGGGATAGTGATGCCTCAGGGTGTTCTTTTATTGTACAGGGTTGATTTGGCTATCCTGGGTCTTTTGTTTTTCCATAAAAAGTTGAGAATTGTTCTTTCAAAGTTTGTGAAGAATTGTGCTGGGATTTTGATGGGGATTGCATTGAATCTGTAGATTGCTTTTGGCAAGATTGCCATTTTTACTATATTGATCCTACCTATCCAAGAACATGGGAGATCCTTCCATTTTCTGGTTTCTTCTTTAATTTCTTTCTTTGGATTTTAAGTAGTAACTCTTGTCAAAAAGACTGAAAAGTTACCTAAAAATCAATCAAAGAAAGCATTTATTAAAGATGTTAGTACAACTATCACATTATATTCAATATACATTTTCTTAATACAAGAAACCGAGATGATAATTTTATATCAACATAATAAAACACCTAAATATTTGGCCAAGATGATGTTATTTATAAGCATCCAGGTCAGTGGTCTACTCTTAATAATTAGCAATCACAAATGGTCGAGACGAATAAAAGTAATAAGTCTGTTTTGTAGAGTATTTCCACTTCTGAGTTGTAAATTATCTTCCCCAAATCAATTTCAAGCTACCAATATTCATGATTTCTGAGCACAGAATAAGAAACTGACACCCTAAGTCTCTTCTCAGGACAGCACAGGGTAAAGCCATGATCCAGAAACAGCAAGCGTGTAATCCACTGTGGTATAGTGTCTGAACTCAGACTTGGCCATAAAGGGGGAGAGAAATAATTTTAATGCAATTAAAGTGGTAGTTTAAAAAATAAAAGCTCTGTGGTTCTCCCATCATGACCTACCCCTCTCCCTTGCCTGGTACAATCCCTTCTCCCTTTCTTCTGCAAGACTCTTGGTGTTCAGCGCAGAGCTTGTCTGTGGATCTCTGCTTCTGCTTCCATCAGTTATTGGATAGAGTACGTCTGATGGCAATTAGGGAAGTCACCAATCTGCTTACAATAGATGGCCAATTCAGGTACCCTCTCCACTATTGTTAGGAGTCCAAGTTGGGGTCATCCTTGTGGATTTCTGGCTGTTTCTTAGGCTCCAGGTTCCTCCCTAACCCCAAACTGCCCCCCATCAAGTCTTCCCTTCCATCCTGCCTCCAACCAGCCTCCTGCAACCATCCTGCCCAACACACTGCCTTGAACTCTTCAGAACTCACAGATTCTGGAGCCTGCCTGGGACTGACCTAGACCCTCCATAAGTGTGTGACAATCATGTAGCTTGGTCTCTTAGGAAGGCTTTCAACAGTTAGAGGAGGACCTCTCCCTGGAGTTTAGCTGACTTTTGGTAACCTATACCCCATAGTAGATTGCCTGGACCCTCCTCAAAGTATCAATTCTGCCTCAACTTGATGCTCCATGCTCTGTACAAGCCTTGAGCCCTGTCCCTTTATGAATGGAGATGGAGGAGGAGTGAATGGGGGAGGTGGGTATATGGGAAATGGAAGAGGATGGGTGGAGAGCAGAAAAGGGAAACTGGTTAGTATGTGAAATAAATGAAAAAAAGATTTAACTTTTTTAATTAAAAATAAATACAAGCTCAGATGACAGCGCTATCTAGAACCACATCCACAAAAAGATCCAATCATAACTAGACTGTTTGGCTCCAAATTTCACTAGTTATTTAGAAAAGAAATGAAAATTAATGCAAAAATCATCTTATATGTGATATTTTACATATATGCATTGTATATGTACATTTGTGTATATAACTATACATAAATATAAATATGTTTTAACTATGAGTGTACAGGGCAATGATTGTTACATTTTATAAGAATGGCTTGGGATAGAGATTTAAGAAGAGATCAATATACTTTGCATTAAGCACTAGATTGCATAGTAGACTACTTATTGCATGTAATAGACATGAGATTCTTTGACATGCCTTCCAACCAACCTGCAGTGGGTGACTTTCTATGTCACCTCAGCTTGGTAGCATATAATTTAATTCTGGATGTTGTGGGTTGCTTTGGGTGAGATTGGCATTTGAGACTACTAACCCAATGGGAATTATTCACCCTGGCCACGCTACCTCTAATACAGCTTTTTCTGGGTCAGAAACTTGCTCACTCAAAATAAGGCCCTCTCAGAATTTTACTTTTGATGACCAATTAATTATTCTTGGCATCATTTACTTCTAGCAACTAACTTTGTCATCAGGTGAGCTTCCTAATCAGCAATGTCATCAATGATTTTTTTCTCTATTTTTTTTCAAAATCTCATTACTTTGAAAGTGATAAGAAATTGTAGAAATTATTCATTAGACTTCTGCTTGAAAATCAAACACATCTGTTGGCAAAGGAGCAGCAGGAATTGACCAAGGTGAGCTTTTAGACAGACTAAGATCATGCACATGAGCCTTTCTTGGGACCGTACCGCATGGGAGCAACAGTGTGGATTTGTCCTGCTGATCTCTCTGCAGCCATTCCTAATTGCTAATCTTTGCTTCTGTTTCATCTTAAATCATTGTTCCTTTCTGCCATCTGCTCCCTCTGCTGTTTCCAAACATGGCAGCTAAGAATTTGTTCCCTTGGTTAGTAGCATAGAGATTAATATGACACAAGTCAATTGTCAGATGAAGAAATGGATATGATACTTGGTCAATACATCAAATCTGCCTGGGGACAGGCCTGATGATAGACAAAACAGGTGGAAGGAAGAGCATGGCTGACAGTCTCAGTATAGAAAGCAGTATGGAAATTAACCCATTCTTCCCCTAGAAATAAATTTCTTCCCCTAGAAAATATCTACCTACACCAGTTTCTAACATATTTTCGTGGCAATTATCTGACAGCTACTGTCCATTCATAATAAATGTCTTCATCATTTTTCAGTGCTATTAACAGGCTGTGCTATTATAAGCAGAAATAATTAAGAAAGTAGATCTGGACCAGAGTATAACCCACTTCACAGAGATTAGCCACCTAGTTTAGATGCTCACAAGCAAGGTAGAGTGGGAAATTGTATGTCAAGGATGGAAGAAAATGTATTTTTTTCTATTTCTAAACCAAATCTTCAAAGTGTGGCTGTCTTGTTTTAGGTTTTTTGTTAATTCTTTAAATTACATGACCATCAAGAGAAAAAGGATTGAGAACCAATATTCTAAAAAAATGAAAGACAGAAAAACTGTTGTGATGAAAACAAATTAAATTTGAATTAAAATCTTGGGTGGAGAATACAGTCCTCACCTCAGGAGTTGCAGATCCTACACACAGCAAGAGAGCTGGGGACTTTCTTATGCTCTACTATCTTCATCTTTGGCTGAATTCAACACTGTGAACCCATTTAATTATGGACCTCTCAATCCATAACAGAGATGTTGCTTTTCTTTAATTCATAGAATCAGAAGACTTTAAGTACTTCTTTAATGGTTTTTAATATATCTTTAAACTATTTTTATTGAAAAAACTCCCCATTCACTGTATTTTGATCATTTTCCCTCCCTCACTTCTGATTTTCTCTACCTCCCCACTCACCATACTTCCCTTCCTCCTCTCATATGTCTCTCATTGAAACAAATAAAAATAATTTAAGAAAAACACAGAAATCAAAATAAACGAGTAAAAGTTGGGTAAAACAAGACTTGAAATTTAAAGATGAAATTAAATGGGGAGGAGAAGCATTTATGGTCACCTAATACCTTTTCCTGGGCTCAGTAGTTTAGCCTCACAGCAAAGCCTCAAGCAGAGACATGGTTTAGACTGAAATGACCTTACATACTGCAATATTTTTCTCCCACTTTTTTCATAGAATGAAGGAGGTTGGCAACTTACAGCAGAGCTTCTTCCCATGTCTTTTTCTGGCTATTACTCATATTCCACTTCACACTGCTGTTATCATTGGCATCAGAGGCCTTAAAAATCACGGAAAACGTGTTTGCTTCTCTACCCATAAGTCCACTCTCTTCTTTTTTGCTTTCCTTTCTCTTTTTCTTCTTCATAAATTTTCCGACATTGAAGATCTTTTCATAAATCTTCGTCCTGGCAACATCATGATAAAACTAATGTTAATCTCAGAGATGTCAACATGCCTAACATCTTAGATCTAGAAAAATGCCTGGGAAGAGGTATCTAATTTAATACTACACTATCAGTTTGTTCCTCAAGGGGAAAAAACTCCTAGAAGGTCTTATACAAAACTTAATTGATTGACTTGCAGATATCCACCCCTCATGTGGTTAATGTCCTTCTATTTTGTATCTGAAGTTTTCTATCCTTTATTCTAAACTAAAGTAAAATTTCTTCAAGTAGAGTAAACAGAAGCTGCATTTGGCACCATGAACGTCACCTCTCTTCATATTGATTCTTCACATTAATTGATCTCAATAGAGACAACAGAACAAACTATACATTCTGCATGTGAGATACTTTAGACTTTAGTGTTAAACTCTCTATTAGATAGCTTTCCAGTGTTTCTTCAGTCTATCTTACCTATAAATATCTTTTGAGCTGAAGTGTAGCAATTGTTTTCCTACCATCTGTTAATCTTCCAAACACTCTGACTTATTTTCTAAAAGGATATTTTATTACAAAGATAATTCTTTCCAAAATTGAGTATCTGTTGTCTAAACCACAGTTGTACTAGTCATTACTGTTACCTTGGTCTAAGTTAAATGTAATGGTTTAGGGATTCGGACAATGCTAGTGCTCTAAAGAATACACATAATGGAACCCAAATGATGTTGCATTGATGGGAATCATCCTGGAACTAATAACAGCAGCTATTGAGCCAAAAATCTCAGAGGAATTAACAGCCAGGATATTACCATCACCATTAAAAGGCAGTTACAGTGATAATGTATACCCTTAACACATACAGTGGGCAGTAAAGGGTTATAGGAAAAGTGCTGAGGCAGCTGTTTGAACTAGGGCTACAAGCTTGAACTATTTTTTTCCTCTGGGTCTACTGCTTGGAAAATATTGAAAGTGGCAGATGACTGAACATCCAACATACAATTTTTCTTTTCTTTCATCCTGCCTGTTTCTTACTTGCAGCTGATCCCTACCTGGTGGCACCGAGGAAAATAAGAACTGACCTACCAAATGATACATTTTTTCTGAAAGCCCATTTATGCTCAAATTTATAATAGCAAAGAGTTTTAGAATAAAGGAATACAACCATAATGCTCAAAGAGAAGAATCAAGAAAGAGAATGAATGGCCACAGGACAAGGATGCACAAGGTGCACAGTGAAGAAAATGAGAGAGAAATATAATTCAAATTATTGAAATCTTTCTGAGTCCACAATATGTTGCAAGCATTGTGTTGTGTGGGCAATAATGCAAATAACACAGAGCACATGCACCCTTCCCTTTTAATATATGCATTAGTCTGAGATGATAAGCACATATGATATGTAGAATGCCTGTACCTTCACACACCCAGCCCATATACACACAATAGTAATCATATATAAAATGAAAATTAAATATTATTTATTGAACATGGCATTTGAGACACACTGTGCAAGGAGGATAATGGCAACAAAACTACTTGTTAGTAAGGTCAAAACTTATAACAATCAGAAAATTAAGTGATAAGAAAATTGTTTTCATTTTTAGCTAATTTGTTAGTTGCTTTAATTCATAACCTACAATAGTATAATCAATGGGTGGAGTCATAGTTAGTGGTGTTGAGAGGTGGTAAACTCTGTAGAAATGTCACTGAGGACATGTCCTAAAGAATATATCTTGTCTCTAGTTCTTCCCTCTTTTACTGCTTCCTGGCTACCAGTATGTGAGCAATTTTCCTGTCTCTCTCTTCTGCCATCATTTTGTGCCTTGCCAAGCAAACAGTGGCACCAGACAGCACATGCTGAAACCTGAGAACTAGAAGTCTAGAAAAAACATTTCCTTTTAAATAGCCTCTCATGATGTGAGATGTCCTTCTGTATGCTGCAAATATGTGTTGCTTTTATTGATTGGTGAATAAAGCTGTTTTGGCCTGACAGGGCAGAATATAGCTGGGCAGGAAACAGAGATTGAGAAAGAAAGAAAGAAAGAAAGAAAGAAAGAAAGAAAGAAAGAAAGAAAGAAAGAAAGAAAGAAGGCAGATTCAGGGAGATACCATGTAACTGCTAGGGAAACAAGATATAAGGTAACAAGCCTTAAGTTTCATGGTAAAATATAAAGTAATAGAAATGGGTTAATTAAATTTTGAGAGCTAGTTAGTAACATGCCTGAGACACTGGCCAAACAATTATAGTTAATGTTAAGCCTCAGAGTTGTTATTTGGGAACTGACAGGTGGGATGAAAAACCTCCAACTGCACTCTCAGGTATTTCTCACATTGCTAAAAGTATCTTGACTATTTCATAATCCAAACCCTTCAATAGTGTAGTTCTAGATGTAAGAATCATAGACAAGCTCTACTCAGAAGTGATATTATTCCTGCTATGGTAACTTCTACTAACACTGGGGCTCTCATGGCTAGCTCCATTAACCCCAAATGGAGGTAAATAAAATATTTTGAGATCCACATAGCAAGTGATCAAGTTTCCAAATGTTTTCTACTTTCTCTTTTCATTATGTATTAACGTATATACAACAGACTTAATAACAGTGGAAAGTTATGTATACACAGTAATATTTAAGAAATTTAACAATTTTTGCTACATATTTTGCATAAACTTTATCATTTCTCAAAAGTAAACTTAGGGTTAAGGTTTACTGGGATTTTGCAGGCCTCTGTGTCTTAGGTTTTATATCTTTGAGATGCAGACATCAAATCTACAAAACAAGGAGACCATGAGAAGACTGCATAGTCCAGTTTGAGCCTCACAATAGAATCTTGTACCTTCTCCCTCATGCCTATTTTAGTTTCTAGGTCAGTAACTGAACAGTTGCAGCTTTGCTCTTGTTCATCCCTCCATCTCTTTGCTGCAGGAGTAAGCAGCAGCAAAAACTAGACTGTGACACACTAAAAAAGACAACGACGTGGCTTTGTTCATGAAGCATTCTTTCAGCCAAAGGAGTGTGAGAGCATACTCACTCCTACTTCTCTGTTAGCTGAGACAGATGTAGAGAAAGGAAGCTGAATGTTGCTCCAATAATACTGACCCTCAGGTGGTAGGGCCCTTCCCTTCTGTGTTTTCTTCAGTACATACCAGTAGTGCTAGCTATTTTGGAGAAAAATGCATCTGAAATTCTGTATGGCTCATCCAATACATCTTTTTGTACAAACTTCATAGCAGAATATTTTAAATCTATGCTACTCTGAGGATATTTCAAAGTAATAATTAGAGTTCAAACATGGCAATGTTGAGTTCAGACAGAAAGAACAAAAACAACAAGGAACATATGTGCATTTAATTAAAATTGGGAGAGGCAGCACAGTGGGTGGATATGCCATCTTGTCATGCAGGAGAGTCGGGCATATCATGTTCTGTGTGATGTGACTATCCTGGAGCCAAATGCTGAGACCCATGGGGACTTCACTTCCTCATGATAAAGATTACTTAAAATGTCTTGAATGAAGTGAACAGATTAATATATTTTATTTTGCCCTTCTTTGCTTGCCCTCCCATTTCTCTTTTAAATGTCATTTAAAAGTATGGCATAGTAGAAAGTGGCCAATCTAAATTATAGTCATAAAAATCAAGCTGTTTTCTCCTTTGAGCTCCTCAGTTTTTTATATTATCTAGGATTGTCTTATTTCTGTGAAAATATACCATGACCATGACAACTCTTTTTTTTAATGTTTTATTCACTTTACATATCAACCACAGTTCTCCCTCCCCTGTTCCCTTTCCCCTGAACCTATCTCTAACACATCTCTTATACCCTACTCAGAAAGGTAAGGCTAAAGGGGGAGTCAACAAAGCCTGTCACATCAAGTTTAGGAAGGACCAAGTCTCTCCCTGATGCATAGAGACTGAGCAAGGCATCCCTCCATAGGGAATGGACTCCAAAACGCCAGCTCATGTACCAGGGATAGATCCTGGTCCCACTGCCAGTGGTCCCACAAACATACCAGGCTACACAACTGTTTTTCAGGTCAGCTGTTTCTGTGAGTTCCCCATCATGATCTTGACTTCCTTGCTCATATAATCCCTCCTCCCTTCCTTTGACTGGACTCCCGGAGCTCGGCTTGGTGCTTGGCTGTGGATCTCTTCATCTGCTTCCATCGGTTACTGGATGAAGGTTCTTTGATGACAGTCAGGGTAGTCACCAATCTAGTTACAGGGAAGTTCAGGTACCCTCTCCTAGGAGTCTAAGCTGGGGTCTTCCTTGTAGATTCCTGGGAATTTTACTAACACCAGGTTTCTCCCAACCCTATAATAGCTCCCTCTATCAAGATAGCTCTTTCATTGTTTTTCCACTTCCTCCTTCCCCCAGCTCGACCATCCCCTTCCATCATGTTCTCATCCTCTATCCCTTAACGTTTACCATCCCATACCCCCAGTTTATTCAGTAGATCTCATCTATTTTCCATTCCCAGGGCAATCCATGTGTCCCTCTTAGGGTTCTCCTTGTTATTTAGCTTCTCTGAAGCTGTGGATTGTGGTCTGGTTATCCTTTGCTTTGCATCTAGTATCTATTTATGAGTGAGTATATACCATGTTTGTCTTTCTGAGTCTGGGTTACCTTACTAGGGATGATTTTTTTCCTAGTTCCATCCATTTGTCTGCAGAAGTCATTGTTTTTTACAGCTGATTAATTTACAACTGTGTAAAGAGAAACATTTAATTGTGGCTTACTCACATTTTCAGAGGTTGGGAACTTGGTGGCATGCAGGCAGATATGGTGCTAGAGAAGTAGCTAAGGGTTCTACATCCAGATCCACAGACAGGAAGAGGAAAGAGGCGCTTGACCTAGTTTGGGCATCTGAAACCTCAAAAACCATCCCCCAGTGATATACATCCACTAGGGCCACACCTACTCCAAGAAGACCACACCTCCTAATTCTCCCTATGAGTCTATAGGGGCCATTTTAATTCAAACCACCACAGGAACACTGTACAGTGTAAGCTTCTGCCTTCC